TCTATTCTATTCTATTCTATTCTATTCTATTCTATTCTATTCTATTCCCTCTATTCTATTCCTATTCCCCCCTCCCCTCGATTCTCTACTCTGCGCTGTCTTGTTCTGGAGGACTCAGGCTGGCCCGGAGCCAGTGAGGTCCGTCCTCTTCCCTTCTGCGGATGCTGCCGACGGCTGATGGGACTGGGGACAGGAAAGGGAGCAGCCATGGGTTGGAGTGGTGGTGGGGGGCAGGGCAGGGAGTAGTGTGGGGCTGAGGAGGAGGAGGAGGAGGGTGGGGGTGGTGGGGGGCACTGGAGCGTCCATCGAGGCTGCGAGGCCTCTGCCTGATAGTCCCTTGCCAGCTTCCGCGGAGCACAGGCCCCCTTCTACCCCGGACCACCTGAAAGGGGGCGGGGAAGGGGAGGCAGCCCCAGGGGGAGGGACCCTCACCTCATCGCTCTCCTCCACGTCCACATTGCCATTCGCGTCGTCGTCCATCTGCTTGTGGATGTTGCGCACGGCTTCGAAGCTGAGCTGCTCCTCCTCTTGCTGGCACAGGGGCCGGTCGATGCGGCAGAACTCTGCGAGGGGGAGGAGGGGGGCAGAGTTAGAAACACCTGGGGAGGGGGAGGGGACCCCCAGGCCTAGCGGGGGGGATTCGTATCCGGTCCTCGGGTTACGGCCACAAAGGAGCCCGGAATTTCTGTTGCTAAGTGAAACGGTTGTTCAGGGAGTTTGGGCCCCTTCTGCAACCTCCCTTGCCACGGTCGTTAAGGGAGTCACTGCAGTTGACCAAGGGGAGGCTACAACAGTCGTAAGTGTGGAAAATGGTCACAAGTCACTGTTTCGGTGCCTTTGTAACGTATTAACTGATCAATTGCAGTGATCCGCTTAACAACTGTGGCCCAGAAAGGTCCTAAAATGGGGCAAAACTCACTTAACCAATGTCCCACTTGACAACGGAAACTTTGGGCTCCGTTGTGGTCGTAAGTCGAGGACTTCCTGCACTTAAAACAGAGGTCTCCAAACTTGGCCACTTTAAGATTTGTGGACTTCAACTCCCAGAATTCCTCAGCCAGCTTTGCTGGGGGTTGAAGTCCACGAGTCTCAAAGCGGCCCAGGTTGGAGGCCCCTGACTTAGATGGCCCTTCTGGTCTCTTCCAACTCTATCATTCCCGGCTGTCTGGGGAATTCTGGGGGTTGAAGTCCATGAGTCTCAAAGCAGCCCAGGTTGGAGGGCCCTGACTTAGATGGCCCTTCTGGTCTCTTCCAACTCTATCATTCATGGCTGGCTGGGGAATTCTGGGAATTGAAGTCCACGAGTCTCAAAGCGACCCAGGTTGGAGGCCCCTGACTTAAAGCTTCCCTTTCTAGCCCAGCGGCTGCTGGAGGGAGTCCAAACAGGCCAGCGCCCCCCCCCCCCACTCCTCTCGTGTTTCAGATCCACACTTTCTCACCCCCCCACCCCCCAACTCCAATGTGCCCACTGCCGGCCGGCAGGGCTTCACCCTGGAAGGCCCCCGCACCCCACAGCTCCGCCTCACGGAGAGCCCCCCGAGCTCCACCAGCCAGCCGGGTGTGCCAAGCCAAAAGTGCCAGGTGAGTCAGAGGCTGTGAACGCCGCCCACCTCCTGCCCAGTGTGCAGGTGCCAGCGGAAGAGCGAGCGGCTCAGCCGGCTGAGTCACCCTGGGCACACTCGGAGGAGCAGCAGCAGCAGCAGCAGCAGCGGGAGGAAGCGTGGCTGGGGCAGCTGCAGGCGGATGAGCCTCCTCCACGCCCGCCACTGAATGCCCTGGGGGGACGCCGGAGGACCAAACCGACAGGACCATCCTCCCGCCGTCACTTTTGCAGCCTGCTTAGTTCCTGCAGGGCACGCCATGCTTGGCTTTGCCCCACGCCGCTGGTCCTCCACTTACAACCACAACGGAGCCCCAAGTTTATGTTGCTAAGTTGTTCGGTGAGGTTTGTCCCAGTTTACAACCTTTTCTCCTCCTGGTTGTTACTTGTTTGTCACCACGAGGGGTTTGCAAGGGGGCTGCAGAAATGGCCAGTAAACGTGCACATGCACACACACCCTCCCTTGCGTGAGCAGCCGGTGAGCACGTGCCTATGCCACTTAAGGGAGCTGCAGGCGCACGTGCACATCACTGACACAAATACAGCTGTACACACACACACACACACACACACACACACACACACACACATGCCTAGCCAGCCCCTCCCACCCCCCAGCCCCTCTGCAAAGCCGGAAACTTTGGGGACCTCTGACCTGGAGGGCAAGCCCTACCAAGAACGGTTGCAGGAACTGGGAGGAAGAGGAGGACCAGGGGGGACACGACAGCAGCCTTCCAGCATTTGAGGGGCTGCCCCAAAGAGGAGGAGGACGGGGGGCGGGTCCTCCTATTTTCCAAAGCCCCCAAAGGCAGGACGGGAAGCAAAAGGTGGGAGCCACCTGGAACGAAGCAGTCCTGGACGTGAGGACCATTAATCGGAGGAATTTCTTGCCTCCAGAAAGTTGTGGTGCTCCACAACACGAGAAGTTTTTAAACAGACACCGGGCAGCCATTGGGCTGGGATGGAATAAGGTCTCCCGGCTTGACCCAGGGGGTTGGCTAGAGGACCTTCAAGCTCCCTCCCAGCCTTAGGATTCTAGGATCTTAGAGACGCCAAGTTGAAACCCAAAAGGCACCACTGGAGGGGAAGCAGAGAACGAAGGAAGGATCAACGTCCCAATGAACCCAACGGGCAAATCCGTCGTACTGCGTGCCCATAAATACAAACGGCCGCTCTGGGCAGCCTCAGGGGGCCCCTCCCCTCCCTCTGCATTGCCCAATGCTGGAGGGCTGGGCTGGGAGGGGGGACGGAAGAGGCCGGGTGGGAAAAGACGGGTGGGCTGAGCCCAGCCAAGGCAGGCGCAAGGCTGCCTCCGTGTCTCCTGCAGGGAACCTGCCAGCCTCGCCCGGCGTGCACCATGCCAACGTCAGAAACGGCTGGAGCAGAGCCAGGCATTATCAGGGTGGGGCACAAAGGGAGGCCGCTTCCTTGGAAGGCCTCACGTGCCCCGACTGGCTAAACGGCTCTGCGGGAAGGGAAGTGACCCAACGGTGGGCACAGCCACAAATCAAACACGGAAGGTCCTGCTCGGCAGTTATTTTTCCCAGCCGGCTCATCCGACTCTCCACAACGGCGGGCGTAACGGGCAGCGTCTCTCCATGCTGACTTGCACAAGGCAGCCAAGTGTTATTTGTGCAAGGGACCATCAAAACACATGAAGAACAGCTGCAGGAACTGGGTGGGTCTCGTTTAAGGAGGAGAAGGGCCGGGGGCGACAGGAGGGCAGCCTTCCAGCATCTGAGGGGAGCCCCAGGGAAGAAGCGGGGGTCAAGCTCTTCTCCAAAGCCCCAGAAGGCAGGAGAGGAAGCAACGGATGGAAGTTAATCAAGGAGAGAAGCAACCGGGAATGAAGGAGAATTTTCTGACAAATAACCAGTTTGCCACCAGAAGTTCTGGGTGCTGAAGCGCTTGTCTGAAATGGTCGAGGGCCTCCTGGCTTGAGGTGGCGGTTGGACTAGAACAGCGGTGGCCAACCTTTTGGATACAAGGCAGATAGGCTTCGGTCTTCTGAACCCTCTCCAAATACTGGCCCAAAATACTGCCGGAGGGAAAGTCACAGGGGAAAGGAGCTCTTCACTCTCTACTCCAAGCTTATGAGTCCTCCAAAGGCATCCAGACGGCCCCCAGGCCCAGCCAGGCTCTTGTGTTCTTAATCAAGAATCTCCAACCTTGGCAACTTTAAGACTTACAGACTTCCAACAGTTGAAGTCCCCAAGTTAAATATCTATGGAGGTTCTCATCCATCCAGGCCACGGGGTGCTTTTTTCAAGAGGCAACTGGACTTTGTTCTTCCTTGAAGACATTTTGTTTCTCATCCAAAAAGCTTCTTCGGTTCTGATTGAATGATGGAAGGTGGAAGGATTTATATTAGTTGCAGTCCTCTGGTTGTTAGTGCTCTCTCTGAGAATCGCTGAGGCCACTTGGAGGTTTATCCAAGAAGATTCCGCACCCATTTGCACTCTGATTTGGGTGACCCCGAGGGCACAGATAAACCTCCAAGTGGCCTCAATGACTCTCAGAGAGAGTACTAACAACCAGAGGACTGCAAGGAATATAAATCCTCCCATCCTCCACCATTCAGTCAGAACTGAAGAAGCTTCTTGGATGAGAAGCGAAACCTCTTCAAGGAAAAACAATCCAGTTGCCTTTTGAAAAAGCAGTTTGGGGACAGGAGCTTGGAGACCCCCTGTTCTTAACGTGTGAGAGCATTAGAGCTTGGGAAACCTGGCCTTACACAGTGGCTGCATCAGTGTACGTGAGGATGCAAAAAAGCCCAACGCGCTTTTGCAACCTGACGTGGAAGCCGTGGGTGGAAAGCCGTAGCAGGGGGAAAAAGAAGCATCTTTTGTGAGTCAACACCTCCTAGCACACACGGCCTACGCAGGGGCTGAAAAGCACGAAGTGCTCAAACCATTTTGAAAAGACAAGGAACGGTAGAAATTCCCCCATCAAGAACTGGTTCTTAATGAACTGGCTTAGTCACAGAAAAGAATATATCTGGTTTCATTCCTACCTGCAAACCACTTCTGGACAGGGGGAAAAAAATGAAATTGTGCCTTTGGGATTTGCTGGTTAGATCGGTTGGAAACGATAGAAATTTACATTTACCACGGGGTCATCATAAATGCGGGGAACGGTCGCAAGTGCAAGGACAGGGACTTTCTTCAGGCCCCTTGTAACAGTCCCTAAATGGACAGTCGACAGTCAAGGAGCCTGAAATTAGGGGCACCTGCAGGGAGGGGAGAAGTGAGCGGCCAAGAATGGGGAGCCTGAAAATGGCGACTCTTCCACCCCCCCCCCCAAAAGCCGGCCGGCCGCAGAGAGGCCCGACATGAGCACCCCCGGAAGACAAACAGGCCGGCGTCTCCCTGCTTCGTGTTTTGGCAAGCAGGGGGAAAGAAAAGCAGGAGGGCGGCGCTAAGAGAAACACCATCCAGCCCCAAAGTTTGCAGAGCCGCATTCCTGGGATAGCTGCAAAGGGCTTGAACCGCTCCTCAAGGCTGGGCCCTCTCCTGGCTCACTCCCACCCCCCACACACACCCCTCCCGGCAGCTCATTTAAAAAGGAAAAAAAGGGGGGGGAGTGTTTGGGGGTCCTTCCCTCTTTGTATTGGGGAGGGGGGTGTCCCAGCAGCAGGAGAATCAAGACGGGCCCTTCAGGCTTTCTGCCAACCTGGTGAGGAACCGGCTCTGATCCAATTGAGCCTTCCGCGTTGTTGGGAGTTTGCCAATTTCATGCTATCTGCTGGCTTTCCCAGGGGCTGAGTTATGGCCAGACCCCTTAAAACAGGGGTGGCCTTCCTCCCTCCCTCCTTTCCTCCTCCCTACCCTTCCTTCCTCCCTTCCTTCCTTCCCTCCCTCCTTTCCTTCTTTCTTTCTCTCTTTTTCCTTCTTTCTCTTTCTCTCTTTTCTTTCTTTTTCCTTCCTTCCTTCCTTTTTTCCTTCCTTACTTACTTTGCCTTTA